GCCCCCCGGGAGGTTAGCCTTGAAAGCATGGAAACTTTCATTTGAAGCTTGGACATATATTATTGGTCCTGATATGTGAGGTGATCAGCCGCAATATAGTCGTGTTGGTAAGATGGAATACCTTGACTTACCAACCGCCCCCCCTCCCAATTCTGTTTCTGGATCATCAAATGAAATCTGATCTACATCAAACACCGGAAAGCTCTTACTGATTCTCAAGAATCCCTTCCCCCAAAAAAACCCCCCCGTTGCGGCCATCACTCAGTCCTGATCTACAATGTCAGTATCCAAAACTTTCTTAGCTCCTGAGAACTTCCATTGAACCTCCCTCATCGCTACCTCAGATATATTAATCGCCGTTGATCATACCAGCGGGAAGAATGAAGCACATGAATCTTCCAGTGACGTGATATCACGATCTTTCCATGTCGTGCGATATGAGCAAGTATGTATGGTTGTAGCAGGTGCCATAGTCAGTGCCAATACATAGATAGGGACCAAAAAGATTCGAAGTTGTACAACCTTGACACGACATGTCTGCACAATGACTGCCCATCACATACATACCCCGCATTCATCTAGTCTTCCAGTTGAGCCTTTAATAGCCATTTCGCGAGATTTACTGCTTGCAAAAGAACCCGCTATATTGTTCGGCAAGAACCACATACTTGGGAGTCAGAAGGTGGCTAAAGACAGGCAAAGAGAGGACGGGTTGGAAGTAGATGTATGATATAGAATAGTGAATCAATCTCTGGGGTTTTTGAGGGGCACCCAAGGATCAGTAATATACAAGTCTGCGGAACAATCAAGGCGGGCTCTGAACTGGAAGAGTCCGAGATACGATGCGAGATTATGACATGCAGTATTATCCTCAGCTGACCTACCTGGACAGCGAAGCGATTCCTGTAGTTTGGCGAATACGCAGCATTCCAGCGTATCAGGATGGTGAAGCCATTCCTGTGGTTAGGCGGATACGCAGCATTCCACTAAAGAGTATAGTATATCTCTCACGCATGAAGCAAGGCATCGAATACCATGATGCACGGGGGCTGATGTCAGCGGGTTTGTTGCGTTGCTCGACCGGCTGATATCTGGGAAACTCAATTAGATCTAAAATCAGTGCCGTGTTTTCCAACCTGGAAACCAAGACTGATTTTCTGAAAAATGGGTGCCGGGCCATTGATCCCAGGCTTGACAGTTGCCAGTATACTCTCTCTCGGTATCGCTGCAGTCCTGGTATACATAGTCCGCCCCCTTCTGTTCTCCCCCCTTTCAAAGATTCCTACTGCCCATCCGACGTCTCGTTTCTGCTGGCTCTGGATCTATTATATTCGATGGGCTGGTCTCGAGAATACCACTCTCTACCATCTCCACCAAGCGAAAGGGCCGATCCTCCGGCTAGGCCCCAATGAATTGAGTATCAACTGCTACGATGAAGGGGTCAAGACGATCTATATCGGTGGATTCGACAAGCCGGAGTATTACTTCAACCGCTTCTCAGCTTATGGGCCAGTTTGAATTGCGTCCTGCGGTGAACCAAACCGGCTAACAGTGTACCAGGGCAGCTAACATGGTCAGCATGATGCACAGCAAGGAGCATTCTGTCCGCCGGCGGATGTTTGCAAACGTGTTCTCCAAGTCGAAGATATTTTCATGTCCTTCCTTGAGGGCATCGGCAACGACAATAATATTCGAGCGACTTCTGCCTGTGTTTTCTTCAGCAGCCAAGGCCGGCCGACCAGTCGAGATCCACTCCCTCACATGCGCATATGCGCTGGACCTCCTGCAAGCCTACCAATTCGGAATGTCGCTAGGGAGTGACTTTCTCCGGAATCGCCAGACGCGAGAGTGGCACCTGAGTCAGTACTTCGCTCGCATCCCGCATCTCTTCTGGATCAGCGAGTTTCCAACGCTGGTATCCGTCTCGGGATGGCTTGGCATGGGCATTGTGCCTCAACATGTCACCGCTGCGAGGACAGGACTGGAAGCCTGGTTTCTCAACAAGTGTGACGCGGCCGAGCGGCTGATGGCCACGGAGCTAGAGCTCCGCGTTGAGGATATCCCGATCGTGTATGTGCAAGGGCGCCGGGCATTCGCGAAAGCGGATCAGGAGTTTGACGAAGGAGAAAGACTGCCAGCCGGCGCAAACCAGCCGCAGTCGGCCTCTCACCGTCTGGAGATTGCAAGCGACATGCTTGACTTCAACGCGGCCACCCTCGAGACCAGCGGCGATGCCCTCGTCTACATCTACTACGAGCTCTCCCGCCATCGGGATATGCAGGAGCGACTTCGGCAGGAGCTCCACACTCTCTCGCCATCGATGAGCTGCGACCCGTCGGATCAGACGTGTGCCTCACAGCCTCCGGCTCTCCCGGATCCCAAAGATGTGGACGAGTTGCCGCTCCTGGATGCCATCATCCAGGAGACGCTGCGTCTCTACCCGGCCGCGGAAGGGGGCCAGCCTCGCGTGACCCCATCACCGCCCTGCAGCCTGGCCGGCTTCGAGAACATACCGCCGGGCGTGCGCGTGCAGTCGTCAGCCTACTCCCTCCACCGCAACCCGGACGTGTTTCCCGAGCCGGAGGCGTGGCGACCGGCCCGGTGGCTGGACGCCAGCCCGGCGCAGCGGGTCGAGATGAAGCGCTGGTTCTGGGCCTTCGGGAGCGGGAGTCGGATGTGCATCGGCAATCACCTTGCCAGATACTGTACGTACCCATCCATCTATCCCAACCCCTTCCGTCGTCCCGCGCGACCGACGCGTATTCCGTACATGCTAAAGCCTGGGAGTAGCGATCAAGTATGCCGTCGCGGCCATCTATTCCAATTTCACGAGCGGGCTCGAGAAGAAGGATTTCGCGTCTCCGGTTGTAAAGGCTGATGGCTCCGCTGTTGGAGAAAGGCATAATTTGTATCTCAGGTTTCGTCGCGTCGATCACGACTGTGAATCTATGAATTGAATTGAATTGAATTGAATTGAATTGAATTGAATTGAATTGAATTGAATTGAATTGAATTGAATTGAATGGCGAGGCTCTCGACCCTCTCGGACTGAGAGGCATACAGAGTACTTTTTCATCACACCCCGCTATCAAATCCATGGCTCGAATCCTCAGAAGCTGATGATGGCGTCGAAACTGAAACTCCGCGGCTGCCCTGCCCTTCTCGCTTACAGACAGGAAAAGGGGCAAGCAAGTAAACAACGAGGAGAACATGTGACTGACTACCCCAAGGCGCCGGCCGAACCGGCGCCCTCTTGTGAAATAGTCGTCACGATCTAAGTCATCCATGCAAATCAAAAGATCGAGCAGTGCGTGAAAGAGATGAATTGATACCATGGAGTATGAGAACCGCTCAGGCAGATAGTAGTATAGTCATAATTTGTGGAGGCTCGCTAGAGTGCGTACGTGAGGTGGTAAGTACTAGGAGTAGGAGATCCTTGTGTGGCTTCCGTTTCCGATTCATCCCCCGTCTCCACTATCAGATATTTTTCAATCTAGAGTATCTTTCCCTTTCCGTATTTTATTTTTATTTCTATTTTTTCACAATCACACTAGTCACTTAGAAAGAGCAAAGTCGAGATTAGAGTTTCAGAGCGTTGCAATCTCTGTCCTTGGTCCGGAAAAAAAAAAAAGATCGACGCGTAGGAGGGGACAGATGGCTGCACGTGAAATGTCTCTTTGTTTTTTTTTGTGGAAAGCGCTTAAGGTACGATATAAACTTTCTGAAATTAACGGTTCTAGATCGGAGATCGAACGAAGCACTACTTACTATATTTTCACTTCCTCGGTTGTTGTTGTTGTTGTTGTATTCATTAACGCCGGGCGAGTATCCAAAACGCAATGCTTAGGCCCTGAGACCTCTTATAAGGTACGGCGACGTGCTAAGTAAAGGAATTATATACAAAGGACTATCTAATCGAGAGTAAAGACCATGTTGGGGAACGGCTCTCTTTTAAATAGCCTCGGGTCGTTAATCCCGCGATATAGTAAACTCTTTATAAATTCTTTCAAAGTATTTTGTGAAAATACGCGCCGAGTTTTCTGGAGTCAACTATCGAATGCGCGTGGCTCTACGGGCGGCCTCGATCCGTATACGTATAGACAACGTTCTCTTTTATCGTAAAGCTAATGTGTTTGCAAAACGCTCTTCCGAAGGCGCAATACCGCGTTTTCGGTCAAATCGGATTAAGCCTTTCTTATCTTATCTCTTACACGTTCTTTTCCTATGGCAAATCCTCTTAGTCTTTTCAGCCGCTATGCCCGTCAGGTATAGATCGTAGTCGGCGTAGTATTCGAGAGAAGGGAAGAAGGAGGTTCGAAACCGCCGGTAAAAGAACTTCTCTTCGAAGAGACGTCGCATGTCAATGATTTAATTTCGGCTCTCCAGACTCTCTGCCGCCAAAGAAAGCTGAAGGTTCGCAAGAGGCACCTCGTACAGGCAGAGAATCGTAGCCTCCCTCTCCCTCCTCGGTCTGGGGCTCAAACTTACCTAATAAGGTCCAGATCCAAATAGCCAGCCAGCTAATGCACGGAGCTCTCTAGAAGTTCTTGGAAAATCACGTTACTACTTATCTGACCGACCGATGGAAATAAGCTCAGCTTACCCTTTATCGGACCAGGGACAACACTTCACCGCTCCCTTTGTACTATATATGGCCAAATCGATTCATTCGATGCCCCTCACTAAGCCAAGGCTATTGGTGAGGCATTTTTCAATTTTCTTTTTCACTATTCAGCTCTTCAAGGATCTGCTCATGCCAGCGTTGAAGCTGAAAGGATGCAAAAATTCTCCGACGGACGACAAACGCCGCAGACAGTTGAGAGAGAAGAGAAGTTCAACTGAGCAGCAGAATTGTCAGAGTGACAGAGACCAACGTTGCGCGAGAGCTAGGGGTCAGGACTCAAGAAGAGGGAACAACCCTCCTCTTGACGATCGTGATTGACGGCGGGCTGGATGGACTAGTCGCCCAGATAGAGTTTCGGGCCTTCCCGTACATCGAACCGCGAACCGTTTCTTGCTTGCCGGATTGATGCCGAGCGAGCCCTTTTCACTTTCGCTTACTTACCGACTCTGGAACTGCTCTCGTTGGCGAAGCAGGGAAGTCATAAGTACCTAGAGAAAGAAAGATCCCGAGCAAATTACAGGCTGCCTTCGGTACGTATACTTATTACTAATTTGGCCAACTGATATGCCGTGAGTACTGTAGTGGTCGTGCCCGCCCTACCCACTATCTACAGTAGAAGTACAAGTACAAAGTGCGTACAAGTACAGGATAGCTACAACTATTCCTACACATTCTTATACATACCCATCCGTGCAGCTACAAGGAACCCTCTTGGCACTTGCTCTCCCACTCTATTTCTTATCTGTCGCTCATCAGTCGACGTGTCCTGCATACAGAGTACATAAACCGTTGTCCTTCTTCCTTGCCCATTCACTCAACAGCTCCTTACCAAAACATCTTACTCCCTATACACAAGATGTCGTTTTTCTCCAAGCTAAACAAGGAGTTCGAGGGGATGATGAAGAGGGATGGTGACAAGAAGGAGGAGCCCCAAGCCCAAGAGGCAACGAGGGGTGAGTTTGTGTGCCTTACGTCCAACCCCCCCACCCTCTCTTCGCCATACATTGCGTAGCATCAACCATCTGTGACGGAGAAAGAAAGCAGAGCTCGCTGACCACCTCACGATGGCCACGTCTAGGTTACGGAGGCGAACAGCAGTCCTACTACGGCGGCACTCCGCAGCCGCCCCAGCAGGGCTACGGCGCTCCCCCACCGGTAGCGTACAACTCCCATCCGTCCTACTCGAGCCCGCCTCCTGCCGGCCAGTATGGCGCCCCTCCCCCTCCCGGCCAATACGGGGCACCCCCGAGCCAGTACAGTCCTGCTCCGAGCCCGTACGGGGCACCCGCGCCCCCGAGCCAGGGCTACGGCACGCCAGCGGCGGGCATCCCACCGACGCCGCAGCTCCCGCCGGGCTGGGCGGCGCTGTGGGATCCTGCTGGGCAGCGCTGGGCCTACCTGGACACTTCCACCAGCAAGGTGAGCTGGAGTTTCCCCACGGGCCCGTCCTATCCGGCCATGGACGCTAGCCGCGGATACGGGGATCAGCCCGGCGGGGCCGGGTATGCAGCTGCCGGAGGTGCGTATGGCGCAGCTGCTGGCTATGGCGCGGCGGGTGGCTATGACGGCCAGCAAGGCGGATATCAGGGCGGTGGTGCCAGCGGGTACCGGGAGGAAAAGAAGGACGACTCGAAGAAGAACATGATGATCGGTGCTGCCGCTGGACTTGCCGTTGGCGCCGTCGGTGGAGCCCTCATTGCCAATGCTCTCGGTATGACCTGATTCATTTTTTCCCCTCCCCTTCACCTCCCGCTCTGAGTTGAAATGCTAACGGGAGACGTCAGATGACGATAACGACGACAACAACAGCAACAGCGGGGGCGGCGCACCACCGTTGGATGAGCCCTTGCCAGAGGTTGATAAAGACGGGGACTCCGTGAGCAGTAGCGACAGGGAAGAGGTCGAGGAAGCAAGAGAGGCCTACGAGGAAGCCTACGAGGAGACTTATGATGACTGATAAGACTTGCCATCCTTGGCAATTAGAGCTACATTGAGCTTTGAGCTTGGGTGGGTGTGCTAGTCTGAACGCCTTTGCCTGCAAAGCCACATTTAATTAAGATAAGAGTATCAAGAATAGCAGGCGTTGTTATCCTTGAGCCAGAAGCATCCATCCTATCCGCTGTGACTCTTTTGAGGCCTCCCCGTGTTGAGAGAAAAGCAGAAAAGCAGAAAAGCAGAAAAGCAGAAAAGCAGAAAGATAATCACTGATACCTAGCTGTACTCCGCATCCCTAGCTAGGAGAAGTACCAGGTAACCCCAGCGAGCCACTTTTCATCTCCCAGCAGCCGCGGACCGTTATTCCTTCCTGAAACCAAAAACCCCACGCGCAGTACCTACTTCGTCTACTTCGTCCACTTCGTGTACTTCGCTACTTCGTATTTTCTTGCTCCAATAACCTACTCAGTCAGTCCATCAGTCCAGATGCTCGAGGAAGGTCCAAACAAACCTTGCCTCGGTGGTCGCGAAGCGAAGCGAAGCGAGGCGAGCGAGGAGTCAACAGAAGAGCTCGCGCTAGCGCGGGAGGGTGGCGAAACGCTTGCTTGGGAGTGATCACTGATTTTGAGTCGGAGGTATGGTTACCTATATCGTCACCCTGTATGTATAGTTGGTGAGAGAGAACTTTTGGGGTAGGTATTAGTAGCGAAGTGATCGATATCTTGTACTACCATACCCGCCTGAGCGTTCGTTATATCGCGGGCTAGAGACATGTGCGTTGAGAAAAGAAAATTTTCCAGGATTATGATGAGAAGCTGTGAGGTTGAATTCGGAGGATGGTTGGTGTAGTATAAAGAGGTAGCGCGCTTTTGACGGAGTAGATGGCTCATCTGCTAATTTACTACATCTGGAAAGACCAAACTAATCAAGGCTTGCCATTTCTTTTGATAATATCTACCTTTCGAGAACTAATTCGGACCAGTTTACTAGAGTCTGGACCCTTCTTTTAATCTGGGACAAGGCGTCAATTTCTTCGCTTCGTTAGTCATATCCGTATCATACACTCTCGACATATACACGCTAGCCAACCTATCCGCACTTCACGCCTTCTTCTTTATCCTCTTCAAACCCTTCTCAGCATTCGCCACCCCCTCCCGAAACCCCACAGCCCGAGCCAACACCTTCGCCTCCTCGAACCTCCTCCTCGCCTCCTCCACATTCCCATCCATCTCGGCGAATTCTCCTAGGTTGTGTGTTGCGACCGCACAGCCGACATCGCATTCTTCGGTGCGTTCTGGAGGTGTGATTTTAGAGGTTAGGGCTATGGCCTTTTCAGCCCAGGCTCGGGCGTTGCTTATTAGTTGCGTTCGGGTTATTGGTATCGAATCGGGTGTAGAGGGAGGTAGTTGTTGGGCGAGGGATATGGAGAGGTTGTTCACTGGTCATGTCAATATGTGGATAGCAGAGGGGAGTGGATTAGAAGGGACTTACTCAACACAGCGGTATGGCAGCTCCTCGGCGGACTCCGCATCAGCGCTTGCAAGAATAGCGGCGCAGCGAGGTAATGATGGTTCATCTCCTCATAGTGATGACCCAGCGCTATCCGAATGTCAGCACCTTGCTCAATCTCGGCTGTCCAAGGTAAACAAACATTCAAAGGTGCCCCCAATCTCCTCCGCACTCAACCATTCCCCCTCCCCCTCCTTAACTCCTTCCCTTTCCCTCCTCTGCTGCTCCTTCAACAGGGTCTCCACGGCCCACACCAGCTGCTCCTCCGCCTTCTCCCTCTCCAGCACATACTGATTCGCGTACAGCTCCCCCAGCTTAACGCTAATACTCACCGTCTTTCCCAGGATCCGATTCCGCTTTCCCTGATTCCCCTCTTTGTTTCCCAAAATCTCAATCCACTTCAGATTGTCCGCCTTGACGATCTCCAGCACGTCGATGGCCTTCTGATAGTGCTGCACCCGCTCCAGCAAGGCGACTATATGGAACTTGATGCCCATGATCTCGTCCGAGAAGGAGTCGACGTTCATCTCATCTGCGACGCGCAGGGCTTCACGGTAGTACTTCATGGCGTTTCTGGGCTCGAGTGACATGTTGGTGTAGTAAAGGGCTTTGCGGAGTTGTTTGGCCACCGGCTCCGGGTATTTCAGGAAGGCCCCGATGATGTAGCTATGGTAGTAATAGTTTGTGTACAGGAGAGATCCGGCGCCCATGAGAATACTATGATCGTCATGTACTTCGTCAATATAGGTTTCGGTAAAGAAGAGTTTAGGGGATTCGGAGGGGCATGGAGGTAGATCTTACAAAAATACAGCAGCGGACACAGAATATGGATACTCTTTGAAGAGCAGCCTTGAAGCTTTCCAGAAAGGTCTGCCGGCCGATTTGTATCTGTGTTGTCCCATCTGGTGCAAGATAGTATTATGGCGCATGGCCTCTCTGCGTTGCTGTTGAAGGTACTGTGCTGCAGGGCGCAAGACGCTTTGAAACCGTGGACCGAACATTATTCCACGTAGCGTACCAAGGCAGGTACAGCTCCAAAGGCAAGAATACGAAGAGAAGCAGCACAATTGCAGGTGGTCGTGCAGCTCCAAATTTCTGAATAGCTTCAAAAGCCCTGAACCTAAAGTCACCACTTGGAGCTCGGAGCTTGATCTCAAATGCCGACATGCCTGCGAAATGAGGCACCAACAGACCTTGCAATAATCAGATTTACCCCACGTACCGAGGACATCAGACTTGAGTTTCCGATCCCTATTATCTCGCTACCTCAACACCAGATAGGTTTTCTTCCATTTTCCCGAACGATACCGAAATTCCCAAGAAGTGGATTTTTTTATACCTAGAATCAAACCCAGCAATCAGCACAATGACTGGCAAATTCGAACCCAAGACTCCCGTCAACCTCGCCCCTCCAAAGAGCGATCCCATCTCCCCCGAGTTCCTTGCAAAGTGCAACGGTATGGCGAAATTCGAATACTCAAGCGACTATACTTTATCCTTTATTCAAAAACCTGCAAGAATCATTCTGCTAAACATCAGCAGGAACGCAAGCACCAGATAACCTCTGCTATGTTGCTATCAAGGTACGCGATCACCCCGGGATTGGAGGATTTGTCTCTCCTGGCAAAAGATACGAGCATGGGGCTGATGGGGCAATATCAAATAGGGCAAAGTCTTCGATGTAACAGGCAACAAGAGTTACGTCCCAGGAGGCTCATACCATGGTACTTCCTCCCAGCCACTGCTCTTCTTCAATCCCCTTCCAGGCCCGACAAGTATCCTCCTTCCCACCCATATTTACAACCCCAATGTGCTTCTTAGGCCTAATCAAAACCCCCTTCCTTTGATTATACTCCAACCAAGGCAAAGCGAAACACATAACTGACAGTCCATGCTCCCTCTAGTCTTCGCTGGTCACGACGCCTCCCGCGCCCTGGGCATGACAAGCACGAAGCCCGAAGACGTCCGCCCCGACTGGGCCGACCTGCCCGACAAGGAGAAGGGCGTGCTCGAGGACTGGTTGACCTTCTTCTCCAAGCGGTATAACATTGTCGGCGTGGTGGAGGGGGCGACTAATCAGTAGACTGCTTGTCACCCCTGCGATGTACCCGCTTGCGTGTCGAAAATGCGTGCGTGATATGGGATAGGATGGATATGGAAGACTGGGAAGAGATAAAGGATATCATAAGCTGAGGCTGTTAAGGAATCCGAATTCGAAGCGGGTTGTGGGGTGGTTAAGGTTGATGAATACGGAGTATACGAAAATGCTCTGGTATGCTATGATGATGCAAAGGAGACGAACTCCTGCTAAAATATCAGCATGGACTGGACCCGGGAGCAGAGAGGCGTATGTGTGGCGTTCCTTGGGCTTGCCCCTTTCTCTTCTTTTCAAAACGTACAATGCGAAGTTGAATAAAGCCAAGCCGAGTCAAGTTAGGTTCCCACCTCGCTAATCTTGTCCTATGCTTGTCCTATGAGTCCATCGTTTGTTTACTTCCCAATTCGAGCAGGCGAATTTCCTCTTTCTGTCAGTCCGCTCTCACTTTCACTTTCATTTTCAACCTCTATCTCTACGCGTCATCCCGACGTCTATGGCCACAATTATCTCACATACATTCCTCATTTTCCGTTTTTTTTTTTTTTTTTTTTTTTTTAGTCAGCACCACTTCATCGCCCACGTAGAAAAGCAAGCAATGAAGCAAGCAGCCCAAAAACACCTATAGATTCATTTCTAAGCCCATTCCACTCTATCCATTCCATTCCATTTCAATCCAATCCAACCCAACCCAACCCAATCAAGTTCATGCATTTAGCACGAAGAGCACCCAAAACCCCAATTTCAAAACCACAAATTCCAAATTCCGATTTCCATTTCCAGTTTCAAATAGTATATCATTTTCAATTCTCTCTCTATCTCTCTCTTCTTTTTTCCAATTCAAGTTTCTATTTCATTTGATAGCTATGTTGAAAGAAGCAAAAGCTTGATGTGTGATAGGGCATGAATTATTGTTAAATAATCCGATTCTCTCCTGCCTCATGCCGGCCCTATCTGGGGAATAATAAGATGAAAAAGAGGGATGAGCTCTTGTGGTACGGAGATAAATATATAAATATATATATACATGTTTGCTTACTTGCTTACTTACTTGCTTACTTACTTGCTTGTTCATTTACTCATCATTGCACGGCGGGAGGGGGAAAGGAGACAGTAATAATAGATAGGCTTCCAGACCACAACAACCGCCTAGGCAGACTTGCGAATGATAAAAAGAGCAAAACACAGAGCTCGGCATGCAAAAGAGCGGTTCGAGGCGAGCTTAGTGTCGAATTGCCCCCGTGGAAGACGATGGCACTGGTAGAGTTTTCTTCTTCTTCTTCTTCTTCTTCTTCTTCTTCTTCTTCTTCTTCTAGGGAGAGGTGAGGACAGCAGCTAGTGCTTATATTGAGTAGGCGAGGTAAAGCAGAGAGAGAGGTTCATGTTATCTAATCTCGTGCAAAGGATATTTCCTCAGCTGGATATATAGCTAGCTATGTAGCTATGCAATGACTACAGCCTCTCTTATCCCTTCGAAGCTGGGGGTCCACGTCGCGATTTGTAGCTGAGGCCCTTCGGTGTAGGTGGACGTCATCATCGTTGTCGTCGTCGCCGTCGCCGTCGCCGTTGCCGTTGCCGTCGTCGTCGTGCGTCTTCGTCGCCGTTGTCGTTGTCGTCGTCATCGTCGTCATCGTCGTCGTCGTCGTTATTGGTGCACAGTTCAGCTAGCTCAACGACGGCCCTTCTGCGCCCTGGCGGCCCTCGCGGCGTCCAGACATGGCTGGCACGCCACGTTCTGCACCCAGGTATTCTTGACGACCTTGACGCCGAAGCACTGGTGGTAGGGATCTGTGCGCGCGAAGTGGCAGTGCGAGAGGAGTTTGGAGCTCGCGTGGCCGCACATGAACTGGAAGTCTTCCCAGTCGCACATCCTATTTTTTGTATTCTTTCGTTTTATTTTTCTTCTTCTTCTTCTTCTTCTTCTCCTCCTTCGTTCTGCTGTCGAGGTTGCTTGTTAGCGAGCGAGCGGGATCTAGACTCATGGGAGGGAGATTCGAAATTTGGGCGGATGAACATGTGGGGTAAGGAGTAAGGAGCACTCACATAGGTGGTGGTACGTAGTACGAGTTTTGGGATTTTCGAGATGGATATATGGGATGAGGATGCGTTTGCACCCCCTCAGAAAACTTCCTGAGCTGTAAGTGGACCCGATAATTTATTACCCCAGGGTTTTCAAGTTCGCGATGGCGAGCGGGTAGGTTGAGATGCGTTTGGGGATGAACAAGAGTAGGGCGAAAGGAGGAGAGGTGGGTTTGCCTGCGTTCCTCTGGCCTGTGGTAGGGCGTGGTCTCGAAAGATAAAGACCGATCTCGAATTCACGATTAAAAACGAGTTGTGGGCGATTCAAGCTACCTTGATCATCTTGTCAGAGGTCTGAGATAGTGGACTGATTGAGTTCACCAATCCACGACTGGAACAGAGGAAGGCGAACTCACAAACAGAGCCAAGAGTTTCAATTACGAGCGAAGATCCTGATCTGCGACTCGGGTATACGTAGGAAACAGCAAATAGGCAAGCAAACGGAACTGGAAGATTTTGTATGAGCAAATCCCAAGCGGAAGAGGGCGTCAACTTATATTTCGAGTAGAGCAGGGTGTAGGGTAACCATGGCTTCATCCACGTCTCTGGTCTTTGTTGGAGATTTCTTCAGTGAAGATGATTTGGCTGTTCTGTTACATTTCAGAGGCTTGTAATCTGAGTGTGTTCCCTCGGTTCTGTATCCTCTCGAGGAATGTCTGCCGGAGTTGCAATTCTCGCTGCCAGTCTCCATATACTGCCATGGCACATGTATGCAGTGCTACTAGCCGAGCGGAAATGATAAGCAATGTAATGTAGCAAACATGATAATGAGAAAGGCTTTTTGTTGGTAATCGCCTCCTTATTGACAGGTCTGTGTGGAGCTCAGAAACCCAGAATTCTGGTTGTAATGGACGGCGGCGCCGAGGTGGGAGTACAAGATTGCACCGAGCAAGGTACACGACACCCAGTAAATGCTACTGAGAGGGAAGATTGATAGCCTCGAGTCGAGTCGAGCAAGTTGCAGGGTGTACTTCTGGAGCCCTCGGCCATGATCCATAGAAGAACGGAACTCAACATAACAAGATATGAGAAGTGACCGATTTATAACTAAATCCAGTGTTTGCTTGGGTGACATAAAGAGCAGCTCGGATCGCTGGACGTTGTAGTATGCAAAGGTCAACCCGATCCCGGTACTTGGGTATCCATGGTAGGACAGTAGCTTGGGGCTCCCGGCTTCTATTCCCTCTTGGTTGGGCTTGCATGAAAGAATGGCCAACGGACTGGACCATCTTCCGGAAACAGGGAGAGATGGCCCGAAATCTCTTCAATAACGGGCCGAGCCTCGGGATTCTGTACAGCTGTCACATTTGACAGACCGCCGGCCAACCGAAGCTCATCCACTCACGGGGTGAGTAACGGTCTGTGAGATGCGGCTTCGGGATTCGGGTGATCATTGATAGGATATACAGCCGCTGACCAAGGAAGAATACCCGGACTCTAACAGGATCAGTTAATTGACTGATCTCTGCTCTCCGCTGCACTCCGTCTCGTCTCGATCCTGCCTTTCTTCTGGATGATCTCCATCGCCAGATTGCAGAGAAGAACTCGGGCAATGACGGCAGCGTATTCTGGGGTCCATGAGATGCGAACGCGAACACGAAGAAAAGAGCTGAGGCTGGTGGCATCGGACGCTTGCTGCTGAACTGGCCAATGTTTATTGATGGTCGATGGCCTGTGTGTTACTGGCTGGGGAGGTACCGGAGCCACGTCCGGGAATTTGAAGTCAATGAATAACGCAAGAAGTCTGGAGATCCACGATTCATGGATCTATAAGGAAGAGGGCCCCTCGAACGGCTTTTGAGACTGTGGTATGCGAGAGAGGAAGATGCCCGAGATTGGATTGGAGAGAGTGGAATAGAGAAAGTGTGCATATAGGTATGCATGCATGCATATGAAGGGAGCAAACAATTCCGCAGATCATCAGCAACGACGCATTTTTTTTTAACCGTAAGAGTAGAAGTGGAGTAGAGTAGCGAGCGTTGTATATAGCAAAACAAATACAAGAGACGCTGACTTGAGATGCTTGCAGCCCAGGGTCGTACCTTTCAAGTGAAGTGTCATGCATTGTATATCGAGATATCCGGGATCTCGATATCAAAGCTGTTGTTGTTGTGAGCGAGGTCCACGTGATGATCATGCTCCCTCAGGAACAGACGCTGGCTTCAAATGGCTGAAGTCCAGAACCATACCTTACAATTGTCATGTATTAACTATGTATCGATATCAAAGCGGTTATGTTGTGTTGTGTTGCGAGGGAGGTCCACGTGATGATCACGCTTCCTTAGGATCTCGGCTCGCGAGCATCGCCTAGGTGTTGGATACATCTTCGCTACTTGCGATCTGTGTCTTTTGATGAGGCGGGATACAGGAAGAATATTGATTGCATTTGCATTGGATCCATTGCATTTGCATCCTCTGCTGCCTATTCCTCGGCTGTTCGCCTCACTTTCTGCCTTCCTTCTGCCTTTCCCAGGCAGGGTAACAGGAGCATTGACTCGTGGCAACCATCCTTCGTACCGGTACTCCTTTTCTCTCTATCCACAGTCTCTCAGTTTCTCATTTTCTCATTTTCTCAGTTTCTCAGGTTCTCGGTCTCTTTCATGTCTCTTATATCTGTAAGGTTGTATCTATATCTATATATGTATCTACACACATATATCGATTCCTGATCCGATGGCTTGACCGCTGTTTGTTTACTTGTTTGTCTGCTGTTTGCTGGGCCACAATCCCTCGTTTCACACGCTGCCCATCTCACTCACCGAGATCCTGGCCGTCAGCCCCTCACCCACTCACTCACTACTCAGTTCAACTCAACTCAGCCCAACTCAACTCTACTCTACTCAACCCAACTCTCTATTTTCACCAAGAGGGATTCATAACGGTTTGATCACCATTCCTGCACATATATGTATATGTATATTCTGGTTGTCCAATAGCTAATGCATATACCTCGCAGTGACCATGGCAAGCCAATCAAGTTACCAGCGCACTGGTAGTCGCCCAGTACGATAGGTCTCCAGCTGCTACATATCTTGTTCCTGTTCTGATGTTAATCAACCAGTACTTTCTTGCATTTCCCGACGCGGGACAAATGTATTCAAGGGAAATAGAACTGCTGTCCTCGCATCTCCCGCCAGCGCAACCCGTGGACAAAGATTTGCCTTCGTTGAGGAAACTGCCAGAAATGGACTATATAGGGAGTGACCCTGGGGTTTCGATGCTTCCCAATGATGGACACAGCCGGGGACCGCCCGAAAATCAGCTCCACCAGTGGTACGCAGGAAATGACGGGCCTTGGAATCCAATTACAAGGCTTATCACAGATTCAACCGCAGATTCCATGTCAAAGCAGACATTCAATCGCGATCCGAGCTCGTACTCAGGGCACTATCGTCAGCAAAATCCAGTGGAGTCATTGAATTTCCAGTTTGGAGTACCAAATTCGGATTCCGATTATGGGACGCGCCGTAGTGTCGCAAACATATCCGTGTTTACTGCGGATGTCCATGAGAGAGATCAAGATACTTATAGCTCGGTCACTTCCGTGCCCGACTTCCACTCATTCCACGGATATGGTAATAGCCGAACCTCAACCTCATGGACGTCTCCAAATTCGCACGTAGCTGAATCTCCTGCTCTTATTTGCCCTACTTGCGACAAATTCGTCAAGACAAATTCAGAACTCAAGTACGGTTCTCACTCAAATTGATACGGTACGAACTAATGAAGTACAGGAAACATGATCTACGACACCGCAGGCCTTTCATCTGTTCAGTCCCTGGATGTGCTCGTAAAGATGGCTTCAGTACCACCAACGACCTCGACAGACATATCAAAAGCAAGCACCCATCGAATATCCAGGAGAATGCATCGAATAAGAGGTTCCGTTGTCGTGTGCCGGGGTGCAAATCTAAGGAGAAAACATGGCCGCGACTGGATAATTTCAGGAGCCACCTAAAGAGAGTGCATGGAAACTGCCTGAGAAGTGGCGGTGAATTTGACGATATGGTCCGGCGGTGGGTGGAGCTGAAAGAAGGCAATATGTACGGAAGTTGCTGACAGCTAACAGCGCTGAGTTCTTTGAGAGGTCAGGTCTCCATTCGGACCAAGAGGTGATAGCCGAACAGCATCAACTTTCTGAAATCGTTCAGCCACCACAGCCTGTGATGCAGGAAAGTTTTGCCAGACGCACGAGAGCTGAATGGAATCACCCGTGCCCGGAGATTACTAATCGATTCCAAGATCTAATCGCCCCCGGGGGACTCCAATTTAATGCCTTTGAGAACCAGTCCATGGTGCTACAACACAAAGTCGCTCAATCCAAGGAGCCTCAATCCGCCACTTTCGAGCCATCGAAAGCCTTGCCGGTACTAGATCAGCTTCCAGAGAGCAGAACGACACTTACAAGCCTCGTCCTGACCCCATCCCATAATATTAACTCTTCACTCAAAGATCCCTCACAAGTCAGCCCCCCAAGCACGACAACTCTGGCTACCCAGGCCCCCGTCACAGACGCCAAGCTCACAGATGTCATCCAGCGAGCATTAGCTGGGGCCAAAATCTCAGATCCAGCCACGTCCGCTCGAGCTGCGGAGCACGAGAGGAGCAGCCTGCACAGTGGGAAAAGCTATTCCAGAGATGCATGGACCGCTAGCTCACATACGGTGACGACTTACGGAGGGGAGCCTGGTCATATTTCTGCAGATACTCCGTTTTTATATCCAATTCATGAAGACGAAGCCCAGAAGAAAGCCGGGAAAGTCTTGGAAATCATCCGCGACCAGGGATTTACCGTTGCGAAAGACCCGATACATGCTCCGGAGGTGCGGAACCGAGGATCAGCAGCGAGTAACAAAATCGGGAGCCAGGTTACGTGTAAACAGTGTGGGAAGTTCAAGGGCCGGCCTTGCGAGCTCAGGTACGGTTTCTAGCTCCCTCATTTGTTCCGAAGCCGGGGCGGACATGGCTAATGGAAATGATGTAGAAAACATCTGAAGCGACACTCGCGGCCCTACGGCTGCACATTCGCTACCTGCAGCAAGCGCTTTGGCAGCAAGAACGACTGGAAGCGCCATGAAACTAGTCAACACCGTCTCGAAGCCTGGCGCTGCGACCTTGCCGTGCCCTTCTTTCTAAACTCCTCATGCTCACAGGTCTTCTACCGTCGGCTAATCTTCCTTGAGCACCTGAAGAAACATCACGCCCTCTCCAAGGCGGAAGATTTCAAAAATAAAATAAAAACATGCAGGATGCCATTTTGGTGCGGGTTCTGCGTGAAGCTTGTGGGCTTCCATCAGACAGGGCTCGAGCCATGGGCGGAGAGATCAGATCACATCGAAGATCATTTCATGGGGCGGAAGGGGTGCGAAGCGAGGGAGATCCATGATTGGGTCCCTGATAATCCGAACGAAGGGATGGAAGATGTGATGTGTACGCCGTATTTGCTGACAGAGGAGAACGGGTCCCCGACATCTGACTCTGGGTCCGCGGTCAGCTCGCTTAGGTCTTCTCCAAGCCAAACAGGAAGCGGTACTGCGCTGCATCTCAAAAGACACGCAGATGCCGACGATATGGGCCGTCCTCCGAAGCAGCCGCGGACGAGCAAGAATCACCAGACGGTCGTTCAGATGTTTAGGTGGGTGGGTGGGGAGATAAACACGGTGGGTAGGTACTATAGTGCAGAAGTGCCAAAAGTGCAGAAAACGAAATACTAATCCCCGTCTGGGGCTTTGGCCATCATGGGAACCACGGGCTCGGATGGGATAGGATAGATAAGTCTCATGTAAGCGTAAGCGTGAGCGTTGCAAATCGAAACGTGCGTTCGCTGCATATGCATGCATGCATGCGGTTGGGCCGCGAAGTTCGTCAAAAGAGAAAAAAACCAGCTTGCTCTGATCTGCTGCCTATACCCTCCTTTCATATTTCCTGCCTGGAGTACCTACCTCGCACGATATATATGTAGGGTGGATGTTGGGTTGGCTCTGGATGGATTGTGGATGCCTGCAAGCTGGAAAGAGAGATGGAGGGAGAGAGAGAAAGGAAGAGAGAGAGAGAGAGAGACCCAGGCGCAAGCGCAGGTGCTGATACGGTGGTGATCTGGCTATAAGATTTTACAGGAGTGGAGGTCTGTATCTTGGTATATAAATATATATATATATATATTTATGCGGCTTATGTTTTGGTGGTGAGGGTGATGATAGTAATGGTGATGATAGTGGTGCACTTTCGCACCACCGGTCATGAGATGTGAGGCTCTGCTGTCTTATCTCGTCTTGCATCCTGTCTCGATCTTAAATAGACGCATAGTATCGCATGTCATCGGATTGCATTTGGAAATGGGCGGGTGGAGGGGAGGCCGACCCGATCTGGCGCATGGAGGATGAGGATGAGGATGAGCTGATAGAGGCTTTAATTAGGCGATGGGACTCAATATCCCTCTTCCCTCTCCCTCCCCCCCTCTCTCTGATTTAAATATCGCAAATTCTGCTTGATTAGAAGTTGAGGGAGATACGATACTTGAGTTAGTTAAACAAATAGCAGCCCACCTAGGAAAGAAGCCGGAACGAAAAGACTGCGCCGCCACTGCCACCGCCACCGACCTCACCTGCTTACTTACTTATATATTCCTACAGCTTCGCCCCTTTGCTGTGCTGTGCTTCTTGTTTCATATATATGTATATATTATATAAGGTATATATACATTATTCTTGATGTAAAAGCTGGGCCGAAGAGCGAAGAGACGGCCTGCTGTGTACGACAGACCGATAAACTGAACCCACTTGGATATACCTGAGACTCGCCTGTCTACATTTATATGTATTTATCTATAGAATCTATTTGTTAAGTATGTACATTTATGTTTATATAAGCATAATTGCTCTCTCCTTCCTTGTTGGGCCACCGACGGTAGCCAGTTGGCTGCGCCTTTGCTGATACACGACAGATGGGCATCGAAATCAGAGCAAACATCCAGAATATACGAATTCCTCGACTTGGGTGTACTTGATTTGCACCTTTACCAGAACTCACTTCAGTTTCATTCCGATTCTTGTCGTCATTTATTCCTTCACCTTTGCTCTGCCTGCTCTGACATCGTTCTTCACCTTCATATCCTTGCACCCTTAGACTTTACACGAGGCATGGCTCTTGATATGATCGATATGTCTTTCGCCGTCGACCAACCTCGCTCCTTCAACAACAACAACAACAACAACTTCTTGGACGACCAGTACCTCGACGACGACGACCAAGACCACCTTGCGGGCATCGATACCCATACAGCCATGGACACTCATACAGCCATGGACTGGGCCAGCAACATCGACCCGTCCTTGAACGATCTCTCCTCTTTCCAGAACAGGAGCCAAGGACAACAACCTCCCTGGCCGTACCAAGTCGAAGTCGCGCAGCAGCAACAACAACATCAAAATCAACATCAAGAACAAAGCCATCATCATCCAGCTATGGAGCGATTTGTGAGCGAGCCAGATCGGGCGCTCTTCACAGCCCCGAATCTCTCTCGGAACACCATGCCGCACCCTTCATCCCCCGTGTCGTCGCCTCTTTACCCATTATACCCAAGAATAGCCTCACCCTCGCCATCACAAGGACTGTTCTCGACCTGTGGAAGCGGAAGTGCGCAGAGTCCTCAGACAGAGCCAGAGTACATTCTTGACAATCAACACTTTGGAATGGATAGCTACTACCGTCTCCCCCAGACGCATTATCAGTTCCACTCTGTTCCTCGGCCAGGCGGACATCCTCACGTCAGCATGAACCAAGTACAGACCTTTGCCGACCTAGAAGACGCCTTGTACGAGAACGAGCCGGGTCTAGGTAATATGGCCCTCAACGCCAGGGGAATGGACCGTCAACACTACGCGATCCAACCACACATGCAGCTCGCAGGTGATGTGCAAGCCTTCCGCTACCCCTCGGACGAAGGCCTCGGCGCCCCTATTCAAGACTCGGTCTCCCCCAGACCCGTATTCCTCAACAACGACAGCCCAACCTCCGAGATTGACGCTGACTTCTACTCTATCACCGACGACGACCCCAACATCCCGGATGCCGACTCCCCAGCTTCACAGGACCAAGAATACACCCCCAGCTCCTCACGAACCCGCAAGCGCGCTCTCACTTCCAGATCTCGCGCCGCTCACCAAAAACGCAATAACCGGGTCTCCAGGCCTCCACCTAAGGCCAAGGGCCAAGTCTCCTGCAGATACTGCTCACACTCGCAGTTCAGGGACGCCACCGCCCTACAGCGTCACGTCGCTGAGGCACACGCCCGCGCCTTCGTCTGCGTATTCGGGTTCGCTGGCTGCAGCGCGACATTCGCAAGCAAGAACGAATGGAAGCGCCATGTCAGCTCGCAGCACCTCAACCTCACGGCCTGGGTATGCGATCTAGGCAGCTGTGGGAAGGCGCCTGCGCAAAGCCACAATAGCCCTGCGAGCGGTGGTGTTGACGTTGGCGGAACTGGCATTGGGAATGCGCATGGCAACAGGATGAACAGGAGCAGCGAGTTCAACCGCAAAGACCTGTTCACGCAGCACCTGCGACGCATACACGCCCCGGCCTCGGTGAAGCGCAAGAAGAGCGGCAGCGACCCGGTCTGGGAGGAGCAGATCAAGCTGCTGCAAGACGCTTGCGTGGTCCAGAAGCGGCAGGCGCCGCAGAACTTGGGATGTCCCGTGCGCGGGTGCGGCGTGCTGTTCAAGGGCGCGGCGTGTTGGGACGATCGCATGGAGCACGTTGGCAAGCATCTGGAGAACGCCGCGGCGAGATCCAATAGTGGTGATGGCAGTAGTGAGCAGGCTGAGGTTGTCGATCACAGCGCTGATGAGCTGCTTGTGCATTGGGCTTTGAAAGAGCGTGTGGTGGAGTATCAAGTTGGGCAATTCGTTCTCTGCGGCGGCGGCGGCGGCGGTGGTGCGCACCACCCACCATTGTTGTCGTCTCCGAGGCGCCAGCGAATTATTCACGAGCAGGATGATCAGGATGCTGAGTTTGAGGATGATTGAGCCCCTTCTCCGGATATCTCATCTCTCATCTCTCGTCTTCTTCTGTCTTGTTACGCCAGCCAACTCCTCCGACTTCACTTCTGCCGTAACAGTAACAGCTCTTCCGACTTTTCCTCTATACAGTACCACTGTACCAACTCTTCCGACTTCACCATCATATTCCCGTCCCATCCCGACGATAGATCTGATCTGATCTGCTCTGCCCTGGTCTAATCTGGTATTCCATCCCATCCCATTTCCCACTTTTTTGCATACCTATCTACCTGGGCTTACCTTACTCACTCACCAGCTCTACCCATCTAACTCCCTTTTTTATGACCTTCTCGTCCGACTTGTCCTCACGCGGCGCATACGAATACTAGAGCCATGTGCTCTATCAAATCGGCTATGGCTATGGATATGTAGGGAAGGCCAGACGCGATTAGGGAGAATGCAAGCAAGAAAGCAAGCGTATTGAAGGCTGGCAGGGAATCTCTTTTTTTCTTCCTTTGTTGGCTCTTGGTTTTTGTGCCTTGGCTTTTGTGCCTTCCTGATGATGGTGATGATGATATGCTAGGAAGCGGACGATGATTATGGATAAATGGATAAATGGATGAATGGACTGATGGATGAATGAACTGACTGATAAATGGATAGTTGAAAGAACAGATGCAAGATCAATAAACAAACAAACCCACGCACTGAGCTTCTCCCTATCTAGCCTTTTCGTATACACTCAGCCAATCCAATCCAGCCAACCCATCCACTCACTCCAATCACTCACTTCAACGTATACCATACCATACAATCCAGTCCAGAAACCACCGCAATCAAATCAAAACCAAACGTCAGCAAACCCCTAAATCAATCAATAAAAGATATTCGCCAAAGTGATAGATGCTTACTTAGCGTCTGCTTTCTCACCGCTTCCAAGCATCACCTATCATCAGAAGAGTATCAAAATTCAAAGCCTAAAATCTGAAGGAAAGGTCTACGGAAACAGTGAATACTAGAGCCTCCGCGGTCAACGCGATTGCTGGCACCAATATTCGGTAGGTGCGAACCGCGTTTATCCTACTACTTCACGCTATGGTGAACTTTAACGGTGTGGGATGAGAGGGTTCTGCGAAACCTACCTACTTACCTACCTACTGTCCTTTCTCCTTGGGTTTTGATGAGTTGATGAGTTAGTTAGGGGTTGCTTTTTGATATGTGTATCTGATCTGGAGACTGAAATACACCTGCGATTAGTTGACGCTTTGCAGTGCGTACCTGATTTAAGTCTGGCGAGTTTTTTTTAGAAGGGGGAGGAGGAGGAGTCTGATCTACTTGCGCGATCTGTGCCTACTTAATCTGAGCCTAGTTACTTACCTACTTGAAAGGTAAAGAAAAAAAAAAGAAAAAAAAAGACGGGCCAGCTAAGCTTAAGACGTCCCTGGCAGTATAAAGAGCCGTTTTCTATACCGAACTCCTCCTTTTGTTATGATATGGTGATAAGAGGAACGATAAACATGCTGTGTAGCTTTACCCGCTACTCCTTCGTAAGCCGAAAAATGAAGTCATAGGGGGAAAAAACCAGCCCTGCTGCAGGGTATAGATAGATTACTCCGTAGATGAGTGAGCTTTCCGGCCGACAATATGCATGCTTACCATCCACCAGTGAGTGGATCACCGGAAAGCTTTTTTTCGTACCTTAGGACCAGGGAGAGAATTGGTGTGTGCTACTGCAGTGCAATCGTCTGCTACGTTACACTAGGTGACAGGGCGAAAAGCTCGTGGTCTTGATAGACGGCTGTGATCTCCGATGCGCGATCCTAGGAAGGTGATGTGATGTGGTGTGATGTGATGTGATGTGATAGTGATGTATCGAACTGAGGGCTCATTTCCACGTCGACGGTCGCACGAACTTCATCGTTTTGAAATGTGAATGACTTTGCTGTGATACCTGACGAGAAGGGGGAGACCCTACTTTGGAAATTCGGGGCGGCATAGGTCGAGCCTCGCCGTGCCATGGACTAGATTCGTTCATCCGATATAGACATCGATACGGGAGCATGCGCGGCATAGATTGAATAGATACGATATATATAAACTAGAGGTAGACCTTGGAAGCCGTTTCTTCGTAATTCTCTCTTTTAGTTGCCCCAGAACACGTCCACGGAATAAGTCATTTAAGGGAGACGGTAAAGCAAGCAATTCTTGGTCACTTTTAATATGATGAAAGGAAAAGCAGGCGCTGGATCTGAGATAAGTTTCGGAAAATTTGTTATAGCCCGAGGGCTTCCATAATTGGTTCTACGAAAAGAAGAACACGGGACATCGGAGGGTCAATAGATTCGGGGCCCACGTGGCGAGGTGTGTTTCTCTCTCAAGAAGCCGGAACTGCTTTCCTCTCGGCAGCTTGCACTCTCCCTAATCACGTTTACGAGCCTGACCCATGAGAAGCGGAAGACGATCCACCGAGAAAGAACATTCGAGTGAGCAGAACCCGGTCGGCCCCAGGTTCCGAACTCGTCGAAATATTCGGTACGAGATTTCAATTCAGAGTAAACAAACGAGGACAGGACGTCGATAGGGTCGGGTGAGTACATCTGCGCTAAGGTAATGCAGTAAAAAAAGAGTAGCTTGCGACAGGGCAGTGATCGACAACTCTGATGGGTCCGGGAAGACATCCCGATGCCTGCATAAAGCCTCGACCAGGGCTCTAGTGATCTTTTTCAGCTCCCCATATGAATCATTCGCTGGGTTCTATTATCTTAAGAGCTCTCTTATAGAAAACCTTGCAATACAGAATAATAGACGGAGAAGTCATGATAGAAACGTTGGCGGGGTTGAAGAAGCATCCGCAGACACGCATATCCACACTATTCACACTATTTGGCGTGGTTGGCGCAGGTACGAACATGCTAGGCACGACGATTATCTCTTCCCTGCCGGTCAGGGACGGGCTCGGTAAACGTTGAGCCAGGGCTTCAGACTTCTGAATCTCTTCGCTGGGTGATTGAATCCGTCCAGTCCAGCTTCAAGCTTTGGATTACAGCTTGGCGGTTTTTTCAGGATCCTACGAGCATTTTGATGCAGTGGCGCGGTTATACGATCTGCTGCCACTGTTGTACACCCTCAAAATATGTGTATTCATTGGTTTGTTGACATGAGCCTGGACTATCTGTATCGTTGCGACGTCGATCTCTCTGTTCCTGGCATATATGCGATTGAGCATATCCGACATCATTTTCCCACCTTTTGAATCAAGCTTAGCTTTAACGCCATTCTCTTTCGATTTTAGCTACGACGTTACATTCACGCACATAGTATGCATTGATCCAGTGGCCGGGCGCTTAGTATATACCATTTTCGTTATAGCTAACCGAGGAGGAGGGAAAGCTCTTCTCTTTCCGAGCCGACGGCCTATGATTCGATCTCTGGTCCGCACCTATGTCCCTGGCCATGCGCCTCTAATCTGCAGTATCCAAAGACGAACATCCCGCGTGTGAAGCATATCCACTGCCTCTGCGTGGAAGTCAAGAGGCACACCTTGACGCAGATAATAATACCCATTATATTTGAACCTCGTATCCGCCCTGTATTTTTCCACCGGCTCATTCAACGTTTTGTCGAAGATAATTCGTATCCCAGTCTATCGTTTTCTATCAATATTGTCATTCGTTTCAAACACGGTCCCTCGCTCTACGTCCTCGAATTGTCCAAGCTCTTATCTGACCATCAACATGCGTGGAGTCTACATAGGAGCGTTGCTCTCAACTGTCAATGCCTGGTCATACCCGGATTGCGTAGGCTATTCTCTGGCTTGTAACCAGCTCTTCAGACTGACAGGATTATAGGACCCTGACAACTGTTACAGAAACCTCGCCGATGCTCGCTTCACTGATGTTATTGCGCCCTTCTGTGTCGAGTATCTTGCTGGATCAATAAGTGAGATTCCGGCCGACTACGCAAACTGTGAACCTGTTCCTTTGAGCTCGGCTTGTAGCTGTATCACCTACACAGCAACTCATTTGTCATCGACAACATCCTCCGTAACTTCAGAGTCAACAAGTGCTCCATACGTGACCACTGCTGAGACAACATCAAGCTCTTCGCCCGAATACACGAGCTCCAGCTCCAGCTATGAAGCTACCATCACGCCGAGCTCATCTCATGAGTACATCAGCTCTAGCCATGATGCCACTGTTACCTCGAGCTCTTCAGCTTCATACACCCCATCTTCTTCTTTTGAGACCTCAGTCTCGAGCTCTGAGCACCCACCTTACCAACCAAGCATCAGTTTCGAGTACCCGATTCACACGACCAGGTCTGAGCATCCAGTCTACACGACCCCAGTCTCAACATCAAACGCTAGCGCTGTGTATCCAACTTATTCCCCCAGCTCCCCTCCAGTCTACATCACCACAACAGAGACTTACAAAACCTACACTACCTACTGCCCCGAGGCTACTACCGTGACCTACGGAACGCAGACTTACACCGTCTCAAAGCCAACAACTTTGACTGTGACTGGTCAGTAAACCCTCGTTTTGGAAGCGAGCCTTCCTCACCACTTCTCAACTCCGGACTTCCTGTGAGAAATATACTAACAGCCCTCAGACTGCACCATTACCGCTACATATCCGGGGACCACGACTACCGTCATTGTGGGCACCACGACTACATACTGTGCGTATCTAATTTGTCCCATCAATCTTCTTGCGGGTGCTAATCTCACAAATGCAGGCCCAGCCCCAACAACCCTTACAATCGGCCTGTCTACGTACCCCATCACTACACCAGGCACCGTGACCTATCCAATCTACAGCACAACTATCATTCCCATCATCCCTGTCACGTCTCACTCGGCGACTCCGACCCCAAGTTACCCAGTGGCTCCCGTCACTACCGACAAACCAGCCACTCCAGGAACAGTCATCGTTCCCTCCAAGACCTCCACCTCACCTGGTATCGAAGTCACTGCCGCCGCTGGACGCCTCACCAGCGGTCTCGAGATGGTGGCCGCAGGTCTCGGCGCAGCTGCCCTTGCTCTCTTATAGATGGCATGTTCGAGATCCTTCCCGACGTGGCGTCTCGAATTGTTAAATACCAAGCCCTATCAAGTAAGGTCTATAACATACGAATACATGACAGATAGCCTGTTCCAGATTAGCGAATTGAAAACTCGATATGACAAGTCTTCCTGGGCGCGTTTCTTTCTGTTTTTCTATTTCTACACCTTGAGACTTTCTTGTTTCGTGACCGCGCTCTCTCTCTCTCTC